AGGAAGATAAAAGTCAAAGGAAAATAAGAGAAAAATCAGTAGTTTCCAAATCTGAGGTTCAAAAAAAACGTTTAAAATAAATAGACAAAATTTGACGCCTAACAACCGTGCCACGTAGCTGTCAAGAAGCCATTATTGACATAAGGAAATAGACAAAAAAGAAGAAAATTTAGGGGAAAAAAGGAATAAATAAATAAAAAGAACAATGGACCAGTAAGCCTAGAATCCAGACCTCAACGTTGATGAATGTGTTTGGGATCACTTAGATCATGTAAAAAATGCAACCTAAAGACTGAAGACTGGAGGTGTTGAAAATATCCCTGCAGATTTCCTAAAAAAAATGAAAGCAAGTCTCTCAAAAATAATGCAAGCTGCAAAAAGGCAAAAATGTGTTATTATATTCAGGTGCTGAGGCTTCTGTGTAATTTTCCATTAATGACATGTTTTTCCCTTTTCCTTGCTGCTGTAAAAAACTTGTACTTAATGACTGTTTTGACTGGAAATTAATTGATGGGTGGTTCCTGACTTTGGCTTAAGACTCTAGGTCAATATAAAACCCACTATAAAATGGTCATTAAAATAAAAGTATGCCAAAAAACAGAATGTATCAGTTCAACACAAATAAAGTGATTTTACTGAAGCATTAGCTATCATAGTTAGGTAAACCTATCTAATTTGGACTGGTTTGTGTTGACTTCACTGTAACTGAAGCATACACTCGATTGTCTATAAAAACACAAATATTGAATCAGACTCTATATTGGCCAAGGGAAAACCAGAAGTGATTATTAAGACAGTTACAAATTCAAAAAGGACAGCCAAGCTACAGCAACAGACTACATTTTTCCACAAAAATGTCAAGAAAAATGAAAATTAATATTTGTTGCTGTGGAATACAGTCTGCCTTTTGTTTCTGCAATGGTCAGGTCCAACATACAGGCCATTTTTATTCCAGTATCATTTCACTTACTGACAGACAATCGACATGTGCTAAATGACCACACTTTTTATTTCTACTAGAACCTCTACAAACACACTCCACTCCAATGAGTGACTGTTTCTGGCCTGGAAAAAAAGTCAGTTTGTCAGTTTGAACCTCACTCGACACTACTGAAATGTATATGTTTCAAAGAGAGGACACTCTTGACCTCTGTGTTACACCTCCAACAACAATAAATACCTTCTGTAAGACTCTCTCACTCTCTTTCTTTAGTACACTACAGGCTTAGACACATCAATCAGAAATGGTTCACTTACATTGTAACTCACACTGATTAACCACAACATGAAAACTACCTCCTTGTTTCTACACTCACTGTCCATTTTATCAGCTCCACTTAACATACAGGTGCACTGTTTAGCTCTACAATTACAGACTGTTGTCCATCTGTTTCTATGCAAACTTTGTTAGCCCCCTTTTGCCATGTTCTTCAATGGTCAGGACTCCCACAGGACTACCACAGAGCAGGTATTATTTGGGTGGTGAATGACTCTCAGCACTGCAGTGACACTGATGCGGTGGTGGTATGTTAGTGTGTGTTGTACTGGTAGGAGTGAATGAGACACAGCAGTGCTGCTGGAGTTTTTAAACACCTCAGTGATCACTGTTGCTGCTGGACTGAGAATAGTCCACCAACGAAAAATAACCAGCCAACAGTGACCACTGAGGAAGACGAACGCAAACTGTGCAGCAACAAATGAGCTACTGTCTCTAACTTTACAACTTTACAAGGCGGATCAACAAGGTATGTGTGTCTAATAGAGTGGACAGAGAGTGGACACAGTGTTTAGAAACTCCAGCAACACTGCTGTGTCTGATCCCCTCATACCAGTGCAACACATGCTAACACACCACCCCCTCATCAGTGTCACTGCAGTGCTGAGAATGAGGAGTTTAATGTTATGGCTGGTGTAAATAAAGAAGTAATCAAAGAACTGTGCATGAAGACAATTGGTATTCATAATGCACATGCTCAGGCACCCGGCAATTTCACTTAGGGTGCAGAAATATAGTCCACACAAATAAAATGCATATCTATATGCACATATGCCCAGCTTACAAACATGCATGTCTAGATGCACATACGACCTGAGTGTCCTGATTGTCAGGCATGTCAAACTAGGGAGGACTGACATGTATCATTTATGCTATACTATGATAATATATGGTCTTTTGCTTATATTTATCATTGTTGTCAGGTTGCTGTGATGTTGTCGTGTTATATTTCTCACTGTTGTCACGTTGCTATCATAGGCTCTTTTTTCCTGTTTTCATCATTTTAATCTTCACAAGCTACCATAAGCTAATTTAAGAAAAAGCAAGTTGGACCAATGTTCCACTAAAGTATTGCTTCATAGGGACTTATTATATTTTTATAATTATTATATTTTGTTGTATCCCAGCAATGGTAGTTTTATAAGAGCAGGAACAAATGTTTTTGAAGTATGTTTATATGATTTGTTTATATAATGTTTTTATTATATTATATAACATATTAACATAATTTATTCCAATTTTTGACCATGTATATTTGTCCATTCGTCATTAAATGTTCACACAAGGTTAAGCACAGCTGGCTTTTTGAAACATGTAAAAAAAAATAAATAAAAAAAAAGGAATTGCTAAGTTTTGATATGACAGCAACGATATGCTCTGCGCACTGGTCTGATGCAAGAAGTCTCAAAACAGAGCATGTATCATACAGCATGGTCTGTTCTCCCTCGCCGATGTTTCATGAGCCATAGGGGACACATTTAGCAAGCTGCTCTATTAAAATCAGCATTGATGGCTCCCCGTGAGCCTGACAGTGTCCCAACAGTAATGGCAAGGAATTAAATATGACTGTCAATTAATAGCTTGTTTACTTTCATAAGCACCATTACAGACAACACAGGGCTCTGCATACTGACAGAAACAAATAATAGGAGGAAAGCCCACATACTGGGAGCCACCCTGGCTTCTAATGCTGATGGAACAAGTCTCTTCAAATCTTGTGAGAATATAAAGCTGTTAACAAACCGCCATAACGGAAACAACACAGCGTGAAGATGAGTTTATCATTCGGATTTGATAGTGTGTCTCTGTTATGCCAAGTTTGCGCTGCAGTATGGACGCAGTGCTGGCTTGAGATTAGTTGAGTCTTGAGTGCGATGCTGGACGCCGAGTTGGTGTTTACTTTTACGGATCTTAGTCTGAGTCAGTGCTAATCTAGAGCAGATTATTATTACTGTTAAACAAGCAAATTGGCACCAGTTTAATCAAACCATCAAGAATTGTGTTTCTCAAACCAATATCAAGGAAGGTGTTCAAAATCAATCAAAGTGAAATGTCCCAGTCCTTCAGCAAACCTGTGGCTTAGTCCTTTGCTACTGGTAAGGCATGCTGAACTTACAAACAGGCTCTATAAATACATCTATCACCTGCTGTGCATCAGTACTGGTGCAATGGCTTTTCATACGTGACAGACTATATATACTGTCAGACAGAAAGAACTGCTCAGACGCACCCATGTATCATATGCAGATGTTTGGCAGCTCTTTTGATGTGTTTGAAGGGTTTTATCCCTTCTGTTCATTTAAAGGAGGGGGAAACCACAAAAACTGACTGGATATTCCAACCATACAACAAGATGATACACTGCTCATCAAGTACTTATCAGGGTAATCTATACCTAATTCATTGGCCATTTAGTTACCATACAATTGCACTATGTAGGTTTTCCAATTACTGACTGCAGGCCATCAATAGAAAGGAACAACAGGACCACTGCTTACCAGATATTACTTGGGTGGTAGGTCATTCTCAGTACAGCACTGACACCAAAATGTGGACTCGAGTCAGACTCAAGCCACAAATTCACAAAACCAAACATCAAAAAAGACTTTTGACTGAACTTGGATTGAACACCAGTGACTTGGAGTTGGACTCAAAACGCCCCCCTCATTTTGCTCTTACCTGTAAATTTTGTTCAGCATGGTCATTTTGGTTTCTACTGTTTGTCGGTTGTTTGTAGTTTATATTCAGCTACTTAATGTCATTGTAATGTTTCCCCACATGTCCATATATATATATATATATATATATATATATGGACATGTATTTTTATATATTTAAAATATATATCAAATACAAAATGCAATCCATGATGAAATACATATGTTGCCATTCTAACAAATCAAAACACACAGAAATGTATGTAAATGTATTTATCAATAGCCAAAATACTTGTCTATTGCACTTTACTGTTTGGACTGCAGTAGCTTAATTTTAATAATTAGCAAATTAACATTTAACAAGGCAATAGCAAGTGTTGTAGGTATTGATACACTGTGAAAATGATGAGTTTGATGATTTGATATTTTGTTTATTTGAAATACATTGTGTGTGAGCATTGTCTTACCACATATGTACAATAGCCACAAGGTGGAGCTACAAGTAGGTGTTTCTCATTTCATTACCATATCAAACTACTACCATGTCAGTGTCAATGGACGATGATTGTAGGTATATTGTAGGTGTTTCTGATAAAATGAACGATGACTGTAGGTATATTGTAGGAGTTTCTGATAAAATGGGCTGATGACTGTGGATACAATGTAGCTGTTTCTGATAAAATGGACGATGACTCTAGGTATACTGTAGGTGTTTCTACTAAAATGGCCAGTGAGTGTGGATATAAGTTGGGTGTTTCTGCTAAAATGGCCAATGACTGTGGATACAAGGTGGGTGTTCTGATAAAATGGCCAATGACTGTAGATATATCATAGGTGTTTCTGATAAAATGGCCGATGACATAGATACATTGTAGGTGTGTCTGATAAAACGGCCGATGACTGTAGATAGAAACTAGGTGTTTCTGATAACATGGCCAATGACTGTAGATATATCATAGGTGTTTCTGATAAAATGGCCAATGACTGTAGACGAAAGGTAGGTGTTGCTAATGAATTGGACACCCACTGTATATAGAAGTGGTGCAGTTGCCTTTATCATACAGTACCTTTGAGAGAAGATGTCCCTGTAGGGGCTACCGTGCTGCATGGCGATGCCGTAGCCTCTGTCCGGCGCACTGTTGCTCACTGTGTAGAACGAGCAGTCCTCATCATTAATGGCCACATACTCCAGCACAGCTGCATCCCACACAAATGCAAAGCGGCCGTACTTCACCTGAGAGAGAGACAGAGGAAGAAAGAGAACAATACAGTCAAATCAGAGACTCTGAAGATGATAATCCTATTCAAAGACGAGCAGATGCATGAGAGACAGACGGATTCAAAAGCAAATGGAGCGCTGAGTGACTCGTTTCTAATAATACGAGCAGGTGCTGACTGTATTGGTAAGACTCAAAGAGAACAGCATGTCATTGAAAAAATGAAAACAGCTGTATTTAATATGGACAAAATGTGCCTGTCTGCTGTTTTCTCTAATTGTTTGCAGAGGCCTGCAGCAAAACTCAGCTGGACAAATCTGACAGTTAAGGGACATTACGTACCTTCACAAGGTTCAAACTTTGTCATGGTCATATAAATAAGCATGCCAACTTGGTAGCGTTCTCCTCTTGGGGCTTTATGAGTTCAAAGAACATACAATTTGAAATGTTTGCTTTCTCTTGTGAAGTCCCTAAAGCAGAGAAAGGCCAAACAAAGGAGAGAACATGAAAGCCTTTAACCTTCAATATCTTCAATATCAGCTTCCATTTCTACTGGGTATCCACACAGTTGGCAGCATACAAGGTGATATCCTTGAGTGAGTCACGCAAAAGGCCCCTTTTACCTCAGCCAGAACATTTCAAGGTGAGGGCTTATGCAAAAATCAATGGGTCCTGACCCCCGATGGCCTCCTTTTAAAGTACAGCTGGACCTTGACTAAAGTCACTTTGAAGATTGCATGTTGAGGAATTTCCAAAATGAGCTGATATTAAGACAAGATTGATAGTTATTGCCTCTCTGAAAAAGTCAAGCTATAAAAACCTCATTTTTGTTTTCTAGCCATGTTTCTGACATTTAAACGTTTTCATGGTTCGCTCATAAAATTTTCACACCTCTGCAATCGAGATGCACCAGGAGATCTGAAAGACTGCTAGATCTCTGAAGATGGCCAATGCATAAACGTGCATAAATGGCTAAGGCATAAACATGCATGCATAAACATCTCAGTGGCTCCAAACAACTTGACTAGGTCACTCTGTACAGCCTTGCTGGCTTGTTCAAATGAAAATCTGCTGTAAAAGCCTGCTGATGCCTCCTGGCCCCCTGTGGATTTCTCGTCATTCAAGTTTTCTTATGACAGAAGGAGCTGTCACACCTCTGCGACCACAGCAGTCACGACTTCAGCAGTTTATGAATTTGAAATAGGCCCAAACACATGTCTTTCCTGTGTTTTCCTGTTCCTCACTGTGCCTTCACCGTACAACTGCACGTTTTATCTGTGAACTTGTCATTATCTTTAGCTATAATTACACAATTCTTTTTCCCCCAAATTCAACTGTGGCCAGTTCCCACCTGCAAGCTAGGTGTCCCATTACAGGGTTGTGATGTTACAGAATATAAAGTACATATATGTACTCAGAATAAAGAAAATGAGTATCTGTGTTCTGTCCAAGTTATATTTTGTAAAGCCAGTATTCAGAATGCAATCAATTTTTCATCCTTTTATAATACTTACCCACCAAATTTGAAAATATATACCATCTTTAAAGGAAACACCATGAATGCTTAACTTATTAACTATTTTAAAATCTGTGCACGGCATGTAAAGACGTACTTTAAATAAGGACTCAATAAACAGCTTCTTTCCAAACCCTGAAGTTCCTGCTGACGTCTAAATAGACAGATAAATCAAAGTGAAGACCAGTTCTCAGTGTTACTGAGCTTTTTGGAGGGGTGACTGAACTGAACAGTCTCCTCAGTAGTGAAAATGTGGACATGAGTGATGAGCTTTGCATCATTGTTGTACTGGACTCAGGCAGGCGTTTCGTGACAAGTAACATACATGTGACTAACATGAAAATCACACATCTACCCACTTTATGGTCAGATTTGCAAGATTTTGTTATTAGAATACAGCCTATTGTTTGTGAATTTCATGAGATGGCTGTGGGATTATGGGAGCAGCAGTGATGAGAGCCAAAATAACGTTTAAGAATTTTGTTACTTCATTTAAATAAGTGAATTTGCATGAGACATAATAACAGAAGAATTACATGAAAAAACACCAACCAGTAAGAGCAAGAAACGGTGTGAATTAAGTAAAAATTACAACGGCAGAGATGCTCCCATGTGCCTTATCAATATGTATTCTTCATGTGTTCTGAATATTGAATGGCAAAGTATTCAGTATTCAATCATCACTACTTTCAAAGCATTCTGATAGCGTGATGCTATCACTATGGGCTTATTATTGACTGGTTTAAAAAATAGTTTTCTTGCTCAAAAAGGAGTTTTTGATACAAACAAAATTTAAGTCTATTAACATTTGGCTCTTGTTCTTCACACATCAAAATAAAGGCAAAAACAGTGTTAGGAATTCACATTATTAAAGCACAAAATATGTTGAAATGCAGAAACATGGTTAAACTGGTTATGCTCCTAGAAGCAGGGTATACAATCCCTACTCCTTGTGCTAAACCCCGGCTATGATACTGAAGCAGTGTTGTTGTGATCTAAAACATGCTCAGACATAATGTGACCCTAATTCCTTATGTTCCAGCAAGACTAAAAATAGTGGGTCTGCTTCTTCCTCTGCTCTCTAAGTAACTGTGTAAGAACACTAAATTGAAGACGAGAGGCAGGAATGGAGTGTGTCCAGCCATACTGGAGGCGCTTTTTATCGATTCCAATCCAATTGTGCTCAGGAGGCAAGGGCGGAAAACATGCGGGAAGCACAAGAGCCACGGCCACATTAGAGTGGCTCTGCACTAGAGGAGGATAACATAAAAACACAGCCACAACATATACTCTTAAAAATAAAGGTGCAACAAAGGGTCTACACGAAAAGATCCACGTTTGAGTCCCTAAAAAGCTTTTGACTGATGTAACTTCTTTTGGTTGGGAAGAGTTCTTCTTGAGTGGGAAGAACCTTTTTAAAATTGAAAGAAACTTCACATAATGTTAAGTTTTGTACCAATTACAGGTCCTTCATTTTTTTCCCTGAGGCCAACTAATGAAGTTATGATGGGTATCAAAAATTGTATTCATTTCATAATTCATTTTTACATGGCTATTTTCCAACCTCTCTTTATCCCTTCGAAGTGAACAGACTGTTTTTGCTACTTGCTTTGAAGACATATGTAAAATGTACATAGGCAGATACACGTAACATGACAAAAACAATGAATTCAAAACAGGCTGTTTTTGCAGCTCTGTTACTCTATATGCAGGTTTGGCATCAGTGGGTCATTTAGTGGGGCAATGCCACACCCTTCAATCATCATGCCCCACTAAACCCAGGATTGTGTATAGCGTATAGTGAAGTGAAAATAAAACTTGGGCTACAGTTATTCACACAGGAGGGTTTGCCTTTGTGATTTTGCATTGGCTACATTTTAAAGATGTGCTGCATGTTGTGGGAAGATAATTTAGTATGTGACTCTTCTTAATTCTCTCCTGAGTCTTTGGCTATTTCGACAGATTACTTGCCCCATATTTTCCTATTTTTTATATGGGCCATTGGCTTTGGCTTTTAGCTTTGTTTTCAAACCATGTAGGAACCTTTTTTAGAGCATGGAGAAGGAACTGGAAGAGTGACGAAAAGAATAAGAGACATAGGGAAAGACAGTAAGGTTGCTAGTCCCCGAGTTGGAGCACATTAAGAAGAGGACGATGAAGCATGTCTCACAGTGAGAGAGAACTATAGCCCCACAGCCATGGCAATCAGGGGGGCTGTGATTCTAATTGTGCCAAGGTAATTATTTCAAGCAATTTTCCCTCAAACAACCGCTGCTCTGCGCATCCTAATCAGCGCATTGTTTCCAGGGGAGGTATCGAAGCACACACGTACGCACACACGCTCTCGCAAGATTCATAATCGCTACATTAAAGCCGTTTAACCCCCCCTCTAGACTCACGCATACATATAAATGCTGGAGTCAACATATTAAACGTGACATTTTGTTTCACCAGTGGCAATGCAGCTGAACTCATTTAATATCGAGTGATCAGTGCGAGTCTGGCTTCTAATTACAGTGAAGTGAGCCATATAGAGTTTAGAAGTCAGTCAGGCATATCAGCAGCTCTTCATCTTCAAAGTGACTCGCTGCATAGAAACGGCAGGATTATTCAGGTTATTACAAAGTTCTGAACTCATCAAAACTGTAGAAATCAGCAGCTCTTTGAAGGGAAAAGGGGGTTTCACGATGGCGACATACAGAACATTTTTCTTTTTAACTCCAAAATAAATTATTCAACACAGAAACCTTTTAAATAGTCATGGCACTGTACCACGTTTTGTTTTATCATACTGACAGTGTAGTGCGGTCAAACATGATCTAGTAATGAGAGTACATGTCTGGAGACAGCTGTGAGGAAATCTGGTTTAAATGTGGATGGGAATGTAGACGTGAGAACTGAGTTAGAAAGTTCATATCATGAAGGTGGAGCTGAAAGTAGGAAGTGAAGGTGCGTTTTAAGGCTGCCAAATTAAGATTTGACATTTGCACATTCAAAAGGACAAAACATCTCCTATTCAGAGTGTTGGACAGTCAGAAAAGCCTGCCTTCTGAAGCAGATCATTCAGTTACCTCTCACAGGAACGTATTTCTGCCCATTAGCATTGTTCAGTTTATACAGTAAACACATCACCTTCTTCAGAATTACTGAGCTGCTTCAGATGGCAGACGTTTCTGACAAACAATGCAGCTTCACTACCTTATAAATATTTTGTGATTATTAGCATACTGCACTACAAAACTAGTCCAAGTCCAAAAAGTTTGCCATCTAAAGCAGTTCAGTCTTTCTGAATGAGGTGGTATGTGTACTTAATAAACTGAACAGTGCTAATGGGCAGAAATATGTTCTCATGAGAAGGAACTGAATGATCTGCTTCAGATGGCTGACTTTTCTGACTAGCCAACGCTCTAAATGTGGACGCTCCAAATGTGTAGCGTAGTACGCTAATAATCACAAAATATTTATAAGGTAGTGAAGCTGGGTGGCTAAATCGCTCCACAG